ATCAATGCCACCTTTTAGAGATAATGTCCAACGCGATAATAATATTCACAGGAATAACACTTTAAAAAAATAAAATAATGCAAAACTACTTATTGATAATAATTTTATGTTTCCTTTTCAATTGAAATTGTTCACAATATTTGTTTCTTGTCAAATTTTCTACACTTAGACAGGAGACCCCGATAAATTTTTCCAAAGATAAAAAATGTATTTTCTACTACCTTTGAGGCAACAATTGGGGAAATACATTTTTAGGAACTTCTTCAGATATTTCTTGAAAATAAGCACTGGTACACATAGTACACATATGAATGCTAACTCATATAAAAATATAAGAAACACGCTGATATCAGAAATGTATAAAACTGCTCAATTAAAGTTGCAAAAGGGTAGGACTAATTCTCCTGAATATATTTCACACCAGGGCCACTTAAAATCTTGCAATCTTATCCTTTATTCAATGAATCACAGCTCTATGTGTATACTTCTGACAATATCGTATGGGAATGTTCGAGTGGGAATGTCAATGATGAAGTAGCCAAAAGAAAAAGTGTTTAGTATTGTTTGAAAACAGTAAATCTTTTCACAGTCTAACGCCTGTAGCTGATCAAATAAAGATAACTGTCATTTAGATTATGTTTCTCTTAAACTAGGGGGAAAAAGGATAACACATTTCTTTACTTCTTTATTTCGTGTTTCCTTCAACTAGTCGAGTAATGAAGTATATCTATACACTAACGATGTCTTAAAATTTTACAACAGTAACTCATACCCCATTAGCCTTATAAAATCTTTTTTTGAAATTAACCATTGATTTAATGTCTGTCAAGTGTTACACATTATTTTAGTAAACTCCGAAATGAATACACAGTTATTCTTCCAGTTTTAGATAAGATTAATTGTACGACTAAGGAATAAACTATCCTAATATGCTTTAGAAAGGTTAACCCCTAACATATTATATTAAACAGTACATGTGTGTCGATATCTATTTCTTGCCATTCAGTCTATTTTCAAAATAAACATATGATAGAACATAGTTTTTCTGTTATGTTTGTTGGTACCTTCTATATTAACTGTGAAAACCATATGAAATGTTTTCATCTAATATTTTCAATTAATTTCTTCTAAACACCAAAATGAAGTAAAAACATATATAAAGGATATAACATCAAAGAAGCAGGTATAAAGGTCACTTTATTGCCCCCTCCCTTGAAAACGAAAAGTATAAAGTGCATGTATTGTATTATACCCCGAGAGTCACTCAGACTAATGTTATAGTAGTCTTCACACTATTCTTTCAGATGCTGACCAGACAATAATCTGTTAGAAATCAGTTTTATAGTTGTTAAAATGTGTCTTCCATATCTGCTTCGAGCCTTTAACTTCTTGAATATAAGTAAAACTGAATCTGAATTTCCCAACAATAGCTTCATTCTGAGATATGTTTCTATAATGTCTTAAAAAGATGTTGATGTTAGTAAAAATATTTTTTGTTGCTCATATTTAAATCAACGAAAAACTTTGTGATGTATTGTCATTTTCGGTGCGTTGCTTTTGCGCCAATTGGCACTCCGACTTGTGTCGATAAAATATTTCATTTGCGCCACAAACCATATTTCATTTGCACCAACATAAAACATTTCATTTACGCCAATTATACAGGTAAATGGTATTAATATTAGATATATATTGAAAAAAAGACTTCTTATAACATGTTACAAAACAGTTTTGGTCCCATAATAAGACACATTTATGAATCACATTCATCATAAAAACAAAATGAAAACATTAATTAGTTTTTTAAATGTTAAGATTGTTAAAAATAGTTTTGATCACATAATAAGACATATTTATGAATCATATTTCATTATAAAACCAAAAATGAAACATTAATTATTTTTTTAAATGTTAAGATTGTACTTTCTACAAGTCTAAACCGTGGTTGGTTGTGTACATTCAATTTTTATATAATGTTTTTGCTGGTTTGTGTCGTGATACTGGCTTTACAACTGTTTTTGGTATACAATAAATGTACAATTTGTCTCTGCTTTTCAATACATTCTTATTCGTGTGGGCATAAAAAACACAGAAGTATTTCCTCCTCTATTTGTATCCGAATGAATTATGTCCATCTTGTCACATCGAACATGTGAACATTATACAATTGTATACATTTACATACATTTACATGACTCTTATTTTGGTATGAGAACTGAGTATCAGCTCACTTACTTATCCAGGGATTGGGGATACTCTACAAAATTCCTGATACGAGCTCGGTATTCTAGATACAACTTTTATTAACATCAAGTTACAGTAAATGGGCTTTGTCACAGATTATAGTAAAATTTTGCATACAACTCTGGCTTGTTGAACTATAACTGAAATTCGAAAAAATAATGCATATTGAATTCTTTCAAAATAGGTGAACATGTTGCAATGGCGCCCGTCATTTTGGGTCAAATATGCCATCATATGTTGACATGTTTATGATATAACAGTAATAGTAATTAACACCTCTTTCAATGGCAAACCTATATCATACTATACATTTACCAATTCTGGAAGTATAAGAATTTTTTGTAAATATTAGAGGTCAAATAATGGGTCATATAATACCTTATTTCCATAGCTATTGTTTGTAATGGTAATGACATCATACATAGATACTTGTTGGTTTGCATTTCAGTAATCCATTTTTTTATTTCATTTTTTTTTGCAGAAACCTGTGATGGGAATTTTTTTCTGTATCATGTTTACGTTCCTATTTTTTTTTAATTTTCAAGAGAAGAAAAAAAACCGAACAAACAAACACACAAACATTGAGTAAGCAACAGGACTGAGTAAAATGTAATGTAATTAACGATTTGTTTATCAAAATAAATATTACATAGTGAAATTATACTTAAGTTTTCTGAAGAAAAAAAAAAGAATTGATATTTTATGTTTTATATTTTATGTGTATATGTATATAACATTACATAGTCTCTCATAACTATTCTTAAGGTGGCTCTAGTATAATTTGTAAATGTTTTGTAAGAGGTGAGACTTAAAAAAAACATTGTCTTGTCTTGTCTATTTTATCCAGTTTTTAATATTTTTTCTAAATTATTCCAATAAATATTGTTTCTGTTGTTGTTTTCAAGCTTGAATTTCAATCACCTTTCCGGCTGATTTTAGTTGTTTATTCCGATTTTTTAAAAACTCTGAAATATATTGTTATATCCTTGGATTTGATAGTAAGATTTACTATTGAAATCCTTGTTATTTCGATGTCATGACTAAACCACCTTCTCAACAGATTAACGAAAAGAAGGGATGATAAATGACATCCTTGCGTAATACCTCCTCTATCTTTAAACGTGTACGAAACGAACCCATGATATATATGTTATGATACATGTTTTACGAAGTTTTCATCCAATTCATGATAATTAATAAAATTCGTAGTTATTCAAACGTTTCGCTAGAAATTTCCATTTTGTAAAAAAAGAGAATCACATGTTTTATCATTCGACGAAAGTTAGAGCTGTCTTTGAGTAAGGTATGGCTGTATCAGATATTACATACAAATTGTTTCAGACCGATAAATCCAATTTTTATAAATCCAGTTTGATCTGTGTTTAATTTGTTAATCTTTATTGATTTTTTGTACGGCGTTACGTTTGTACATATCTTATATAGAATTTGCTTATACGAATCGTATATTTCTGAGCATTCTGTCGATTCCATACCTAGCCAGTCTTTACTTGGAGAATTAGTTAATCACAATTTCTATCATTATCTGTAACTAGAATATCACATATCCTCATTTTATGTTTGCTAAACTTTGTATTATCACTACATGTTGACATAATTTTATATTTTTTTTTTGTTCTTAATTTATGCTCTGTTGTTTTGTTTCGCCTTTTCTTTTCATGTCTCCCAAAATATGAATGTTTTTTCTTTCAATTCAATAATTTTTTTCACAATTTCGATTATTTTACACTTATAAACTTCTCGTTACAACTTTCATTAATATCAAATCTATTTGTTTTTTCTTTAAGCATTATCATTGTTTCTTTTAGTTGTTTTTGTTTACGTATTACGTCTCACTTGTGTTTACGTCTCTCTTGTGTTTACGTCTTACTTCCCTCTTGTGTTTACGTCTTACTTCCCTCTTGTGTTTACGTCTTACTTCTCTCTTGTGTTTACGTCTTACTTCTCTCTTGTGTTTACGTCTTACTTCTCTCTTGTGTTTACGTCTTACTTCTTTCTTGTGTTTACGTCTTACTTCTCTCTTGTGTTTTCGTCTTGCTTCTCTCTTGTGTGTACTTCTCTCTTGTGTTACGCCTTACTTCTCTCTTGTGTTTACGTCTTACTTCTCTCTTGACTCTCACTTTCGGAGAAAGTTGGCAGTATACTAAATGGTCGTGAATCTTATTTTATGTCAATCTGTCTGTGGTCTAAAATTGTTATAACTTCCGAAATATTGAAATGCAATAGCGGCAATTAAGAAGAATTATAATGTACTGTGTGTTACTGAGAATGACCTTTTGAATTATAAGATAATTAAAACGACAGACATTCAAATTGGATAGTGTTGATATAAATTTCATACTTAACTCGAAAGCTATTTGCCCTAAAATAAAATGAAAAGTGTAGAGATATTTATTGCATATTATAAGTGTTGCGTTATGCATTCATTCTATAGCCTTTGAATTTTGAGACTTGTCGCTGGGTGAGCAACACGTCGTAGTTATATCTGTTCGAAGGAAATAGAATACACACATACCGCAACAGTTATAGTATGCAATAAATATCTCCACACTTTCCATATTATTGTTTCATTCATTAAAGCGTTAACGTTGAACACTCGCATTCGTCTATTTGGTCAAAATATACACCATCTACTCTAGCAAAGTATCCTTGTATACATAACTGTCATGTTTATTTTTAAGAACATTGAACTCGAGTTATCTAATGTAAAAAAAATCATTGTTTATTTTTCATTATAGGTGAAGTAGGAAAAGAAATGTATATAGTTAACAGAGGAAGATTACATGTGGTAGCAGATAATGGCAAAACAGTGCTGGCAACATTAAAACCAGGAAGTTATTTTGGTGAAATTAGCATTTTAAATATGGGCACTTCCGGCAACAGAAGGACTGCTTCCGTTCGATCTGTTGGATATTCTGATCTTTTCCGTTTATCAAAACAAGACTTATGGGATGTACTAAAAGAATATCCAACTGCAAGAGTAAAATTAGAAGCTATTGCTGTTAAAAGATTGGAAAAGACAAAGAAAATGCCACTTGAAAAAGGTACGTATTGACAGCCAAACACTATACTAAGTCACGGTATTTGTGAGCTAAAAAGATAGAAAAATAAGGATTTTAAAATGCCTATATGCAGATTATTCTCTGCAAATGTTTTGCAATTTTTATGTTTATTTAATTAACTAGAATTTAAGTTGTACCGATTGTTTTATTGTCAAAGCGATTTCAAATTGATTCGGTCACTGAAATTACGGTTTTTATTACTGTTCCTGATAACTTTTACTAATTTTCGACAGTTCTTCTAATACTTTGGATTGCCAGTCTATTATTTGATGCATCACACCTTGCTTTCAGGAGTACAAACATACTTCATATTACATTTAATTGAATGATCTTTGAAAAGATCTCCACTAAACATTGTCTTAGGTTTCCTAAACGGTTAAGTTGTAACTTTTATTTTATTCTTCCCTCAAATCCAATACTTGAAAAAAAAAATGTCATGCGTAATATAAAATATATTTGTGTAATGTTGTTTTTTTCTTGACTTTTTTCACTCCCGTGGGAAGGTGAGAAGAATCTTGGTAGATTAATTCTATTAAAACCTTCTTATTATAAATTATAATTATACTCACAAGTTTATCGATATAATTGGAGAAACGAAAAATATATCAGTCAGAATGTAGTTTGAATGAATGGGATTGTTTTCTGTACTTCAATAAAACAAACACATGTGGAATAGTCATGAATCCTGTACACTGCCTCCAATAAATACATATCTGATTTTCTTTACTGTTATAAGTATCTAAGGTTTGTTTCAAAGATTGATTGTTGGTTGCTTAACGTCTAGTGGCAAATATCTCGTGCATGTTCAGGTTTTAAAGAAGCGATGGGTTCAAGTTGATATAGCATGAGCGGGTTATAAACGTTTAACAAAACTAGAATGTTTTCTATTTTTAAATCCATATAGTCTTCAGAACCCTTTCCTGATATTTTTATTTAGTTTTTATTTTTCATTCCCTACAGTAGTCGGGCATCCTCACATTTAACCCATTTTCCCTTTCATAAAAGAAAACAACTGTTATGTATTTTACGCTACACACTACTACATTCTGCGTTTTTTAAAGAAGTACAAATAATCGAGCACCGAAAATGATAAATGATTCTGACCTTCATTTTAAAGGATACGTGAACATTCAATTTATTTATTGAAACCTCTGCCATGACTTTGTAAAATTCATTAATTGAGCATGATTTGTAATTGGTCTCATGAGCTCGGATTGTCATTTAAGCCTTTGGATGATAGTAAATCATGTCATTATGGGAATGATATATACTTCTCTGCTAAGGTTAGGTAGGAGCTATCCAATTGCTCTTGGTTAGGTATGTGATGCAAATAAGTCCTATGTTTTCTCGATATGAATGTCAATAGTGAGGTGACGTTATAAAAGGAAATCAATACAAATCAACATTTAAAACATTTCAGACATAACAAAACATCTGTATTAATACGAACTAAAAATGATTAAACTCCACAGTATCTAGGGGCAAAGAAACTAAAACATGATTAAACTCCCAGTATCTGGGGCAAATAATCTAAAACATGATTAAACTCCACAGTATCTGGGGGTAAAGATTCTACAACATGATAACTCCACAGTATCTGGGGGCAAATATTCTATAAACATGATTAAACTCCGCAGTATCTGGGGGCAAATAACCTAAAATATGATAACCCCACAGTATCAAGGGGCAAAGAATCTAAAACATGATTAAACTCCACAGTATCTGGGGGCAAAGAACCTAAAATATGATAACTCCACAGTATCTGGGGGCAAAGAATCTAAAACATGATTAAACACCACAGTTACCATCAGAAATTCATAGTATTCTTGAATATTCTTGAACAGAACTGGGATACTCTTGTTGCATATAAATGGTTACCAAAAGTTCGGTTAAGCACCGTTGACTAATTTATCAACGAAAAGAAATTCCCTCTATATATGTGTGTGTGGTGGTATTGCATAATGTGATACATTATGGTTACGAGGACCAGTTACTGTCACTTTTGAACCTCTATGGGCCCACATGTACTATTTTATACAGAAGCAAATCACTAGTGTAGGGGCATGGGTGTAATGTTTTTATTGTTACGAGGACCAGTTACTGTCACTTTTGAACCTCTATAGGCCCACATGTACTATTTTATAGGGAAGCAAATCACTAGTGTAGGGGCATTAGTGTAATGTTTTATTGTTACAAGGACCAGTTACTGTCACTTTTCAATCTCTATACATGTACTATATTATAGTTTCTACTCTGTAATAAGAAGACAGATGAATGTTATGTTTTGTAAATCTGAAGTTCTGTGACCTGAAATGAACAATTCATAATGAACAGAGCATTTTGATAATGTATTCTACAGGAATGTTAGACAGTACTTTAAAAGTATTTCGGCGGTTTTCTCAATTCGATTGTCTTAAATCAATGACGTCTCGTCTCCCACACGTGGCCTAAAAAAAGTGGTCCATTACGACAAATGTTCCGTAACCCATAATAACTGTTAAATAAAATAAAAACGATTGAAACAAGGTCGTACCTAAAGTATGTAAAAAATTGGAAATTAAAACATGTAAACTTAACATAAATTGCTTTTGGCAAGCCTATATTCTGCCAACGAAAATACATGTAATAATAACCCATTTTGATCCGAGTTTTATGTGATACCTTAGTTAAAGTTTATGTTAACACGGAAATAATGACATAAGTATAATACAATTAATTACATTATCAACATGATGTAAACCAAATCGAAGAAGAATAAGACTCCTCCAAAGTTTTGTAAAATATGAAAAATATTAACACGAACAGCTACGTTCACGGATATGTATATACCGAAAGAACACTTTATAACCTATGATTATTATACAAATTCTAGGTTTAACATTAAATCGGTAATTGTTCTAATGATGACCTCATCGAAAGAGGATTTTTCGAAACTGTGCAGTATATACGTAGATTTTATATGTTGTAGTTAAGTAGAGGCCTATTTTACATTCTATATTCTTACATAATTCCATTTAAAATGGTAATTTGAGGAAAAAAACACATTTGTACTGATCATTTACCAGTTTTAACTTGTCTTCGAATATCTCAAATACTCAACGCGTGTAATGAAGACACTTCACCACAGAAAAGAAACAAGATTATTTAAAAATTATTACTCATGGAATATATTTATTTAACAAATCAGCAGTCTATAATAATTATTATTAATATCAAAACCTTTCATTTAAGAAATACCCAAGAGTAGACTTAACTAAAAAAACTTTTTTCAGACTTATATAGAAAAAGTCCACATTAAATATCTAAACAGAATTTGTAATATTTAATATCAAATCATCAAACATCAATGAAAATTAAGGTTGTAATCTATCATGACAATTTAAAAATCAAAAGTTGACGTTGTTATGTATCATATGAAATTTAATGAAAAAAACATGCAAATTATGATAAAAATTATCAGGAACCTATTGGTACAGGTTGATCTGTGGCATGAGTAGGAGGAATTGATTATACAAAATAGTTACTGTCTATTGTAAATTTTGTATGCAAATCAACTAAGGTCATAAGTTAGGAAAATATGAAACTATTCCATAATTGAGGGTTTTGTTCTTCGTTTAACCCGACCAAAAAAACGGTCCAATTGATATATGTTTACAATAATAATATCTTGTAGGGAAACGTTATAAATTTCTGAAATATTTTGTGTATCTAATCAGGAAAAATTCCACCAATAATTGTCTCTTTGACATATACCACATATCACCTTTTGTTCATATCATTTTACACGTTTTCATAATGAAAAAAATATAAACATCGTCACTACAACTAATTATGGGGAAAATTAATAAACCTGGTTATAAATCACCGTTACAAGATGAACCTTGTTCTGTGGTTAGAATTCACTTAGGTTTTTTTAAAATGGAATTTACTGGTTGTGGAGATTCGGAATGCAGTTATTGCAGTGTGCATTATCTTTTTAAAGCATCAGAAATGACTCTCTGAAAGCCAGTAAAAAGGAATTTTCATAAAAATGAAAACAAGTCAACGTCTTATTTGTTGATATGACAGCTCCAAACACATGCCTTTTTATTTACTATCTCAACAATATAGGACCTAATTCAGGACCGTAAAGAATGAAAAACATATTTTCTTATCTGCTTTAGTAATATTTCAATGTGTCTTATATGATATTTATCGAGTTTTCGAAGGCATCGCCCTATATAAATATTCGTCAAGATGTTTTTTATTTAGAATATTACTACAGGGAGATATACATTATGTTTGAACTACTACTTACGTTAACCTGGTAATCGTTGGAACAATTATAAAAATGTCAATTATTAAAAGATCAAGTTGAAGGTAAAACTTGAGAAAAACGTATGATATCATTTCTGTTAAATCTGTTATGATAGAAACATCCTCTTCAGATGCGCTCGAGACTAAATGTCTGGAAAGTAAACAAAGCTCGAGACCAAATGTCTGGGAAGCAAACAAAGATCGAGACAAAATGTCTTGGAAGCAAACAGAACACGAGACCAAATGTCTGCGAAGCAGACATAGCTCGAGACAAAATGTCTTGGAAGCAAACAAAACACGAGACCAAAGTCTGGAAAGCAAACAAAATCCGTGACTAAACTACTGGGAAACAAAGAAAGCTCGAGACCAAATGTCTGGGAAGCAAACAAAACATGAGACCATATGCCTGGGAAGCAAACAAAACTCGAAACAAAATGTCTTGGAAGCAAACAAAACACGAGACCAAATTTCTGGAAAGCAAACAAAGCTCGACACAAAATGTCTTGGAATGAAATAAAACACGAGACCAAATGTCTGGGAAGCAAACAAAGCTCGAGACAAAATGTCTTGGAAGGAAATAAAACACGAGACCAAATGTCTGGGAAGCAAACAAAACTCGAGACCAAATGTCTTGGAAGCAAACAAAACACGCGACCAAATGTCTGGGAAGCAAACAAAATCTGAAACTAAACTACTGGGAAACGAACAAAGCTCGAGACCAAATGTCTGGGAAGCAAACAAAGCTGAAGACCAAATGTCTGAGATACAAACAAAGCTCCAAACTAAATGTCTGAGAAGCAAACAAAGCCCGAGACAAAATTGTCTAGGAAACAACCAAAGCACTAGACCAAATATCTAGGAAGCAAATAAAGCTTTGTACCAAATGTATGGGAAGCAAAGAAAGCTGTAGACCAAATGTCTTGGAAGCAAACAAAGCTCGATACAAAATGTCTAGGAAACAAATAAAGCTCTAGACCAAATGTATGGGAAGCAAAGACGCTAGAGACCAAATGTCTTGAAAGTAAACAAACCTCGAGACCAAATATCTTGGAAACAAACAAAGCTCTAGACCAAATGTATTGGAAGCGAACAAAGCGCGAGACCAAGTGACTGGGAAGCAAACAAAGCTCTAGACAAAATGTCTAGGAAGCAAACAAAGCTTAAGACCGAATTTCTGGGAAGGAAAGAAAGCTGGCGACCGAAAAAGTCTTGAGGACCAAAAAGCTTGATTCAAAATGTCTGGGAAGCAACGAAAGCTGGAGACAAAATGTTTTGGACGCTAACAAAGCTCGAGACCAAATGTCTGTGACGCAAAGATAGCTTGTGACCAAATGCCTGGGAAGCAAACAATGCTAGAGACCAAATGTCTGGGAAGCAAACAAACCTCCAGAACAAATTCAGGGAAGCCAAAAAAGCTCTAGACCAAATGTTTTGGAAGCAAACAAAGCTCCAGACCAAATGTCTGGCAAGCAAAGAAAGCTTGAGACCAAATGTCAAAATGCAATAAGTATTATGACAAAATCAAATTTTTCATGAACTCTTCCCGAGCTATTTCGTCTGTTTAAAAATTCATACTCGCGACGACATGACACGAATTTAACATGTATAATTGTTTTATTGCAATGACGCTTATCAATGAAAAATGACTTACTACGTAACATATAACATTGGTATTACACAATAATAATTGTCAGCATCATATAACCATGTACCTGCTCTATATTATATCATAGAACAAACAAAACCCGGATATCATTTCGAAAATTCATAAAAACAAACACTACCTAAGATTTGCCACTAGGCTATTACCTTCCCTGAAGCTCTATGCTGCCGACTCTGCAGCCACTTTTTATATTATTAACTATAATGTGAAAATACTTTGCAATATGATCAATTGGTTTAACTTTCATCAACTAATTTTTATGTTTCACAAACTGGGAATAATTGTCATTATAGGGAAAATCATGAAACCTGTTTAGAAATAATCATATACTTATACTTATTCAGAGTGTTAATAATTGGCCATGATGAGGAATTACTTTTCAATTGAGACTGATTGGTCGTGGCTTCAACAACCTTCAAATTGACACAGATTTCGTTTTCAGTAAGACAAGAGGAATCATTTTGAAATATTTAGATGGTGATACCGATTTGTCTTTAATAAACTAATGAACTGAGCATAAGCGTGTTTGATTTTTAGTAGAGACGTTATTTGGAAAAAGCCAATCTTTTTTAATAAGATTTAAAGATTTGTTGTTTGTTGTAGTGGGTTGATGTCTTGTTCGAGTTTGAGAAAAACAATAGCTTTTTGGATGACAGACATATATCTTTATTTTTAAAATTTCGGACTCTGAACATGAAGTTTCCAATTGAAACTGTAAGATGGCGAAACTTAGAAAGAGAAAGCAGAAAGTGTGTATTGTGTAATTTAGATGCTATTGGTGATGAATACCATTACATTTTTAATTGTCAAGCTTTTGATAACTGTAGAAAACAATGTATTGCATTTCATTATAGGAATAGACTTGGCACTTTGAAGTTTCATGATTTAATGAATTCCAAAACATGTTCAGAACTAAATGAGCTGTGTAAACAAATTAAAGAGATCAATAACAAATTGAACTTTTTTGGGTGAACAATTGTAAATGCCTGTATCTACTTTGAAATTCGTACACTATTTATGTAATTGTATTGAAATATGTATAATTATCTCTATACCTTTGTAATTTGGTTTGTGAGAATAAAGATATATATGTATACCGCACATTATGTTATCTCCTTAATTTTTTATAAGTTAAAATGCCACAGCTATTTAGTTTGAAAACACGAAATATGTGCAGTCATTTGGCTGCCATTTTTGTAGCCAAACTAAAACCTGTCCAGTTTTTACAACATCGTTTGAAATAAATATGAATGCTGGAAAATTTATCCTGGTATTAAATTTTAAATTCCCTTAATTCAAACTTTTCAATTATGTATGCTACATCCTGATTTTTTCCTACAATGTATGTCTATTAATAGCCTATGTTATACCCTATTACTTGGCCGGATTTCGAAGGGTTAAACCGGTTTATAGTATGGCTATGTCATGTGGACAAGGAAAGTTGGTACATAATTGTGTTATCAACGCCTTCTAGTTATTCTTAACACTACCCTTGAAAATTCACAGAAAGGTTTCAGACGAAATGAAGTTGTGCACCTACTATTATGGAATTGTTTGAGTTTATTTTCCAGTTTATTTTCGAATTATGAGTTTGAATGTCCCTTTGGTATCTTTCGCATCTCTTCTACTATTATGGAATTGTTTAACGTATGGAAAGTTGAAACATGATGTATTTTTGTTTTTAACCTACTACTTGTATTATAAAATTGTTTTAAAAAATCAGATACATGTAGTTGGAGACAAAAACTTGCAAGAACTATGAGGAAATAGGTATTTGTAGAAATGAGTTTCCGGACAGTTGATGACAAGAAGACATAAGTTTTTTTTTATCATTGCAGCTTTCATCTCAACTGAACATCACATTGAAATAACGTGAAGAAGATATTTACTCATTATTGAATTAATTACATTAACACATACATGTGGCAAAATATACTTTCATTATTGAAACTGAGTTACTTATTTGTTTTTATTATTTGCATTATCTATATTTCAGCTGCTATGTCTCGCAGTAAGAGTACGCCAGGACTGGTCGAGTCTCAAGGAAAAGTGCCTCTGGAAGCTATGTTTATGACGCGGCATCATACTCTCCCGGCTGGTCTTCCGATACAAAAGGTGGCTCCAGAAGCACAAACTCAAAATCACGAAGGAGAATCCGATGGCAATAATTTGGAATTAACCGAGTGTCAACCTGCTGAAATGTTACCTCCCAACACACCAGTTCAAGAACAAAACACAGGAATTCTTTCAAAATCACAAACTGTGTCTAGTATGAAATCATTTACCGTTCCATCACCGTCTCATAAATCTACTTCATTTTCAGATGCAAAATTTACGATAAGTCCGCCGACGTCACCTCGTGACATTCAACAAGCAGACATTCCGTCTACAATATCCGCTCAATTATCACCAGTTCATTTTCCGTTTCCTCAAATGTATTCATATCAAACAACTCAACAGTCTCCAATGAATCTTCTGTCCCCATATTGTGCCTCAAATACCTTACACATGCCGTCATCACAAAGTCTTGCTCTGACAAGATCAGACAATCTTGCATCATCGCAAAATAATTTATCGTCACCTCAAAACCAAACGTATCAGAGTCCATTTTATCAAACACAGCATTCAGTCGTTTCGATATCACCGGGTATTACTTCAAATGTTCCATCGGGAAGTCCGGCCTCGTTTTCATACGAGACATCACAGGATGTATTATTACAAGAAATTACAACATTAAGGGAACGACTGGCTACACTTGAAGCAGAAAACTCAACGATGACAGCAAAACTTAATCAACAGCAATGGGACGTTGAGAACAGGTTATCCGAACTAGAAATGCACATGTGCCCTAGCTCAAGCATAGCCAGTACGACCAGCCAGGATGATCGACCAGAAAGGTTAGAGCCTGTCAATAGAGAATCTATTATTTAGGTTTTCACACACGCACAATGTACGTTGCGTAAATACACAATTTGTACAACTTCCATGAACAAACCTGATCTGATTTACATGTCTAACTCAATAAAATATCATTTTATATCAGTCAAGTGATAATGGCTGTGATGTTATAATTTTTGACGATTCTGCTGGATTTTTTTTACAGAATGTACATATATTAAACGAGAAGTTATATGTTGAATATGTTAGATTATTTAGATGTTTTAAGTTTATAAATTTAAAATATTTTTATATGTCATTTTCCAATAGTTTAATCCTGTAAAACTTCACTTTAAACTCAATTTTACTATTCACCAGATAGATGGTAAAATAAAAACATAATGAGATTTATTGCTGCAAGAAAAGTAAAGCATTTCAGACAAAAAATATGAAAATAACGCATTGAAAGGAGATGAAGACAAAGCATGTGCTTTATCAATATTTCTCAATACAAAGTTAATCTACAAGACACCAGAAATACACACAAAAAAAAGAAATTCTATGATTTTAGTCCCGATTTGATTATTAAGGCCCGTGAAATCATTTGCTCAGTAGTCAATATTTTGGCATGGATTTTTTTACGTAAATTCTGATAAAATTCCTTGTGGTAATCTTTTGCACTCTAAATTGAAAAAGAAATAAGACTAAAAGTTATAAGGGGCCATGACAAGAAACACTTTTCTGTTTTTTTTAACTGTGTATATGTAGAACTAATCAGTTTTCGACTGAAATTCTTTACTGATTCAATCATTTCAAGTTCTGGCTAGCAAATATAAGTTGTTGTAAGCAGCGTGCATAATGTTTTTATTTTGTTATCAATCTGAAGATCTGTAATGTGTATGCAAGGGGAATACTCACGTTGTCAAATTTGGATAAAGTAAGCGGCGGTTATATTTGTTCAAAGCTTGATTTGCTTGCTTCACCATATTTTTATCAATACTTTTCTATTTTCTACAAGATAGGTAAATGATATGTTGTTGTATATGTATCGTTGAATTATTGTACTCTGATTCGTCAAACACTTCGGCATTTTGTAGCATACTCAGTAATTGTTACAGCTGTATGCCATACTTTTAAAGTGTTTGAAGAACAGTTATACTTTAATTAGGTGAAACAAGCATTTCTTGATATTTTTTTCTATAAGTTACAGAGCTGTTTGTATTAACCACGAAAACACCGTTCAAAATGCTACTTCGTGATTATTTTCCAAGATACTCTGTTTTATCTCATGTAAACCATTCATTTCTTTATTTTCGACATCTTACAAACGTTAATTCACGTTAAGTCAAAACTGTAGAAGTTTCGGTAACGCGGATAAATCTTCAAAAGAAGGGGAATAGTTGCATTTCATGATAAAAAAACCATGTAACGGTAAAGAGGTGCTTGCTTGGCTTTAAAAGAAATATATGTTGAAAAAATGTCTGAAAGGTGGAAGAAATAAATCCGTTTGAAGTTCATCTTATAAACATTTTCAAAAAAAAAATCTGCTTTTTAGGTAAAAATATATACAAAACAAGAGAGAAAAAATCCAAAGCTCACTTGTTTAAATAAGTATTTGAGTTTCTCGCCATCCTAGATTAAATAAGTATGGGGGTTTCTCGCCATCCTAGATTGCACACCACATATGATCGATCCAGATTTTAGTGAAATTGCAGTTTACTTGCCGGACTTTTTTTCAGAAGAAAAAATAATCAAGATTTCTTAATGTAACATTTGTGTACAAATATACAAACAGAAACCTTTTGATTGGTTAATATTTTTTAATTTGCTTTTAAAGGGAGGTAACTGAGAGCTTTTGATAAATGAATCTCTTATACATTTATTTGTTTTAAAATGGAGCAATGAAAAGAGGACGGTACCACTTGTTTCTCTTTTTATTCACTGAAAGCATTTTACAAGTCAATTCTATCTTGATTTAAAAAGATATCATCTAGTTTTCTTTCTAACCCTTACATGTGTGAATGTTTTACAATCAGTTACTTGAAAGCAAGCACAGAGACCTATAATAATTGATATTGGCAAAGGCCAGAAAAACACACGATAATGTTTTACTCTCCTAGTTCTTAAAATGGTGACTAAGAATGATGATTGTTATTTCAGTCTTTCTATGCCGGCAAAAATCCTCCCGATACAAGAAATGTACGCATGTGCAAATACATTGTTATAGAAATATGGAAAATAATATGATTTTCAATCTTTATGGTAAATCAGTGTTAAAATTAACACAAGATTCTTGTTATAATGTAGTACAATATGTTATAGTATAGTATTTACAGTTGTTGAAAAAGTAATGTCTGGTTTATGATATCATCATGAATATACAATTACTATAGGAACATAGCAGGTTTATACTTTATTTGTTATGGAAATATGACATTAAAAAGTTGAACAATATATATGTTTCATTTTGTATCCATATTGAAATGTAAATTGTATTGTTATCTAAACATCATTTCATGTAATTGAAAATTAACAATTCTGTTTTCAAATTATCAAAATTCATCTAATGCAGTTTAACATGTTTCTCCTATAAATACTATAAATTCATTTACACCAAGACGTCGTTAAATGAAATTGGATACATTGCATTTATCATGCTTTTCAATAACAGATGGTCAAATCGCTGAAAGACCCCCTCTTAAATTATTGAAAACTATCATTCTGTATTGACAATAATATTTTGGTTAAATAAATTAGATATATCAAATCGGGCTAATGCCCTTATATGTGTATCTAATACAAATTACTGCAATGATTTTACCACTGTAATTCTAAGTCAGATTTTATCCTTTATCTGATAACAAAATAAACAGAACCCCCTTCATGTCACCTAACATTGCGAAACACACACAACAATTGTATACAGAGTCTTCGTGTATTATGTGAAGAAAGGCAGAGGTTTTCATTGATAAGACAGCATCCATAACGACACAAAACATACGGCATTCAGATGTCAACATAAACATGTGTCCATGCAATGGGCAAAGCTCTAAACCACCCAGAGCCTATAAAAAAATTAAAACAAAAATTAAAAAAAAATAATCAAAGATCTGCCGAATACACCTCAATACCCCCCTCCCCCCAAAAAAAGACAAAAACTCTAATACATAACAAAAAGGAAGCACATAATCTCGTGTCTACCTTTCTTGTCTTAGACATCACCAAATAAATAAACGGTATGTGTATCCTTCAACCCTAAAACATGACCAAATGTCAACATTAAAATAAAGACACACGTGAGTTGGTAGACACAATACAGACATTGTAAAATAATTTAGCACATAAGACAACACAATATAGAAAACAAAAACAAAAGCACAATGAACCCCTTTAACAAAAAAGGGTTGAACTCAAGCGCTCTGGAAGGATGACCAATTTCTGCTCCACTAGTGGCATCCGTCATGCTGCTCATTGCAACAAGAAACCAGTAATAAGTCCTGAATTATTCAATGAAAGGATATCATCTATTAAACGGGACACTAGAAAAATGATAAGGTTAACCTTGTTTCATTCTCCCCGTATGAAAAATGTACAATGTGAATAGAGAAATTGTCGACGAGGAGGTGCACAGTTGGTTCTCATAGGAAAACTGATTTGATGGCCAATTGATGCAACAAATGTGGTGTCAATAAAATAAATCAATGCTTCTTGATGTTGTTAGTTGCAGAAAAACTGTTGTCAGAGTGTCTAAGTCTGAAAGCCATACACATTCTAGATCATCTACCACATAATTTGTTTAATTGAATACTGCTCTTCTCGTGATGACATGACTATTTTCTCCCTTTCGAAAGCAGCACAAGAGATCGGGGTAAAATCATTTCAATTGTTCACGTCATAAATCGTGCGTTTTCTTTTTTAAACTAGAGGCTCTAAAGAGCTTGTGTTGCTCATCTGAGTATTCATCAATGGCCACTTTAAAATAAAAATCATCACTAAATGGGAATTCATGTTGACGTATTTGTAGATCTTATTCTGTTCGTTTTTCCTTTTTAAAGTTTCTATTTATCTATTACAGTTTTCAAGATAAAAAGCGAAAAATGCTAAATATATGATAAAAAATATCATTTAAGGGAAATAACTCCAATGATAAGTTGACTGAAGATTTCGGCCAATATGGCTTATTTGTAGATCTTGTCTTGCGGACCATTTTTTTTTTAATTTAAAGTTTCTAACAATCTATTTTAGTTTTCAAGATAATAAGCAAAAATGCCAAAATTGGGATAAATCGTCATTAAAGGGCAAGATGAGTCGACAAACGATTGATCTGGTCATCCAGACTTACTTGTAGATCCTACTTTACTGATTTTTTTTTATGATTAAAGTTTCTATCTATTTATTATTGTTTTCAAGATAATAAATAGGCCACAATGCCAGAAAAGGAAAAATCATCATTGAAGAGCAATAAGAAGAAAACTAACGATTTCGGTTTTGTTGGCTGTAAGTAGATCTTGTCTTTCTGGTATATTTTTTTCTGTTTAAAATTCTATCTACGTAATATAGTGTTCAAGATAATAGGCAAAGCTGCAAACATTTGGAGAAAATCGTCATTAAAGCGCAACAACTTCAATAATAAACGATTGCTTTTGGTCATCCTGACTTATTTGTAGATCTTGCCTTGATGAACAATTTGCTATTTAGAGTTTCTATCTATTATAGTTTGCAAAATAATAAGCATAAATGCAAAAAAAAACAGGAAAAAAACCGTCATTAAAGGGCAATAACTTCAATAATGAGGCTACTACCGATTTCCGTCATGTATCATTTCTCGTTTTTAATTTTTGCTTTTTAAAGTTTCTATCTATCTAGTATAGTTTTCAAGATAAAAGGCAAAAATATAAAAAAAAATTGTGAAAGATCGTCATTAAACGGCAGTAATTCCATTATGGATTTCGATTACTTGATTTATTTGTAGATCTTGTCTTGCTGATCATTGTTGCTATTTACAGTTATTGCTTCGCATCACGGTGCGGAGCTATTAGTTTCAGTCGATATACACGCCATCTTGAAATAATTACTTATCACATATAGATTCTGATTGGTTGCTTTATGATGCGGCTGAGATACAGCAACAGCTATTGGCTTGAATGAGATAAAGAATTACGGACTTTTCTTGTCTCAATATAAGACATCAAATGCCGGAAAATTAACTATGTTTATTTCAGTCATTAATTCATGTTCGTTTTATTATGCATATATTGCACACTGAAATTCAATATTGAAATATCAATTATAAATACGTGTTTATTTGCTTTGTTAATCTGCAATATGAACGATTTGTTTTGCTAAAAAATGTTCCTATACAATGTTTGCAAAAATGTATCATCTGTATTTTATAACTTCTGCCAATCTAGGCACACCGCAAGAGAGACACACCTCCAGAGTCGTGTCTATTTGTAAATGTTTTAATTTTCAACAAGTAAAGTGAACAAAAATTTAAAAGCATGGGTGTATAACGCACACGCTTAAAGTAAATCCATTTTATATCAATCAATATCTAAAAATACCACATTTCCAATACTAAATCAACAACCACATGCACACATATTACCTTAAATTAGGATAGAGCGAAGCAGTCCAAGGCTTTTTAGAAAGCTCAAACTTGTCTATAATAATTTTCGAGATAATAGGCAAAAAATTAAAAAATGGAAAATTCATTGTTCAAGGACAATAACTCCAATAAGAAGTCGTCTGACAGTTTGATGTCAATAGCCATAATGTAGATCTCATCATTCTGAACATTTTTGTCCCTGTCAGATTTTCTCTACCTATAGCTGTTTTTTTCAAGATTTTAGAAAAAAAATGCATTTTACCCATTTGTTCTGTTTCTACTCATGTTGGCCATGTCTGTCGGCATACGGGGTCATCAGACACATTTTTAAAACTAGATACCAAGTTGATAATTCTGGCCAAGTTTGGTTACATTTGACTCAGTAGTTTCAAATGAGTCGATCTTTGTATCAATGGAATGGTATTGTCAGTTTGTTTTCCACTTAGAAGTCTGAATATTTCTTTTGTATCTTTTGACTCTTTTGTAAAGGTTAACAGACGACGGACGCCAAATGATGGCAAAAGCTCACACTGGCCCTGTGGGACAGGTGAGCTAAAAATTGGTGTTTATTTTTAGAATTTTTAATAAAAATAGTCATTGCACAATTTAATATGGAATATTTATAGAAAGAATGTCAAGGAACGGAAAAAGTTATCATGTTTTATATACAAGTTAACTTCGACATGACTAAGTTTAGCTGAAAATTCAGAAAATTTGGAATACGAAGGTTATGGAAACAGGGCAAGTCTCGATGTCAGCAGTCATACGAACTCGTAAGAGGATTGTGCTTCTTAATACAATACAACTGCTCCAACAGAGTAACTAGTATGAAGGTGAACAACTGAAATCAACACTGCACAAGTTTCACGGTCACTATCTCGAATTGGGTGACCGATACAATGTGTCTACGTATCAACTCACTAGCGATATGTTTTATATCTGAATAGTCATCTGATCAATTGGTTCTTATTCCTGATTATGGTCTTTTGACAGATTGTGTATTCGCATGGTGGGTGATACATGCATAGCAGGAGACACTTGACTATTGAACAGCAGTATACTACTGTTGCCTTTATTTACCCCGTCGACGCAACAGGTCTTGCTCGTTTTTAGGATGTTCATGCTATTCCCTCAGTCTTTGTTTTTTTCTGTTACCTGGATTTGTATTTTAGACGTCTTAGTCGATTTTTGAGATTTGAATATCGATATAATACTTTTGCGTAAATTTATTACATATCATCTTTAAAAAGTTCCAGATTAAGAGAGTGTCAAGAGTGTGTCTAATTTGTATACTCAATTCTCTCAGCTTAAGGGAAAATATGTCTTTCATTTCAGATACTGGTGCGCTATATATTGCATAAAATATTAATCTGCTGCCGTAAAAGGCGTTTTAGTAGAGACGTAATCACGTATTGCTTACTTTCTGTAAGAAAGCTCGTTGATAATTCATATCCTTTTTTGTTATGGAAATTAACTTAATCGGTTTTGGAAAACCGTTCTATAACTTGATATTCGGTAATAGCCATTACCCTTACCCTACTTTTAACCCATCAATCAATCAATAGTATGTTCACGTAAGATGGCGGAGGATACCTAACATATTCCTTCGGAGCAACATTGCAGACACTCTTCATATGTTCCGTTGTCGAATAGAGAGAATTCCCAACTTCATTATCATCTAATTAAAGAATCTTATTTGTTTACTGGTATTAAGCTCGTATTAAATACAAGAAACAACAGTATGTATGAAAAGAAATACTATATTTAAATGTTAAGTATATGTACAGCAAAGTCATAAGTATATAAACAATAAAATGCTACTTAATAAATATAAAACGTAATAGTATATTCTTATCAGACACAATGGCGACAAACATCCCCTTATTACAGCTTCGTCAAGTTTTAAAGTATAATATATGGGATTGACAAACGAAAAAGGATCATCTTGACAAAATGAAACAAATTTATTTTTCTGACAAAATTTCAAAGATTCTTCATTAATCCAGCATTTTCTACATAAGGAAATGCCTGTATCAAGTCAGGAATATGACAGTTGTTTTCCATTCGTTTGATGTGTTTGAGCTTTTGATTTTGCCATTTGAATTTTCCTTGGAGTTCGGTATTTTTTTATTTTACTTTTTTCATAACTTACTTAAGATCCCTTTTATTACATTGTCCTTGTAATTTCATTTTATCAGAATACACAAAAGTGAAAATTTGAATAAAGATAAACAGGAATATACTCAAAACATTCATTTGCTACTTCCTCGATAAAGATCTGCTAGGTTGCATTAATTCTAAAATTGAGAACAAAGTAATTCCGACTTTGAATCAGACTACATCAAAGTGAATAAACAGAGATATAGGGTATTCGTCAATGAAAAACAGAAATAAAAAAGCGGAAGATATTAAAATCAATAGTTCTAGGTCAAATGATCTATAGACATGCATTACCCTCTATCGAAAGGAACTTCTAATTCATTTAGAAATTTCAACATGACAATTACGAATCACGAAAACAAAAACAAGCTTAAATAAGTAGTTTAATTCATTATAATTACTTATATTCCCATCCTTTTCATATAAATTCATTGCACATCTTTCTACCTTAATATCAAATATAAGATTAGCGATGTGAAATCTTCTAACCAAGATCCATAAGGCTATTGGTAATGTGAAGGAAAAACAGACTACCAATGCTGAGCCATTTTGTAATATCATAGACTGCCGATGCTGAGCGTACATGTAATATCATAAACTATCGATGCTATGCCTACATGTAAAAATCCAACGCATTAGCTGCCTTTATGTAAATATTATAATGATGCGCTGAGTTTTTTATTGTTAGTTTTTTGTAAAATAAAATATAACTTTCTCACTTTGCGCAATGTGACAACAATCCTTAAACGTATATACATTTTTAATTGCTATTTTACATTTCTTATTCTATTGTAAAGTTACAATGTACGGTACAGGGGCAATAACTTGGACCGGATCCTGAATGTTTAAATGCATCTTTGTAGGTTTTTGTGTTTTCTCTGGATTGTTTTTTTTGGGGCATTTTTTACAACTTATCGGTACCTTGTTTTGATTTATCACTTCTCTTCTTCGATTTATTTTTACTTTTCCTAGACTTCTTCTTTTTACTTCTACTCTTTTTAGATTTTCTACGTTTTGATTTCTTTTTACTCTTTGAATCCTCCTTTTTGCTTGATGATTCTTTCTTTTTCTCATTCTTTTCAATTGTCACGTTTTCTTTTAACTTTTTACCTGTTTTTGCATCAGTCGTCAATATGCTTGATGATACAAACTCTTTATTGGAAACTTCAGCATTGCTACTTTTATCCTTTTGATTGATGGACACTACTTCAGAAGCTGATGCAATCGTTTTTAAAGCAGCTTCCTTGCCTATTATATTTTTCTTTTTTGTCATTTTATCAACTTTTGATTTAACGTTTTGTCCAATATTCTCATTCAATATAGGTACATGAACTCCTGGTTGTACTTTATTTAGAGGAATCTTTACTAAAGCTTCGGATACAGCTATGTGGTTGATTTTAGGAATACCAGAATCAAATTGTTCTTTTACAGTTTTAACTGGACTAATTGTCATTGAACCAGCAGGTTGGACATATGCTTTTTCTCTATAATTTCCTTCAAAAACAATTTTATTTTGTGGAACATTTTGTGTTTGGCGTACAGGTAATTTACGATTTCCTTGATACATAGAAAATGATGGTATAGCAGAGACATATACCTCTCTATTGTTGGCATTCATAGTTTTGTCGAATGGTACAAATATTTTAGGCAATTCAATTTCTACTTTTTGTTTTCTTTGTTTATGATTTTTGATTTTATTAACTATCCGTTTTGGCGATATCATACGCATATCCGATTGTGTATTATCTACTTTTGCTTTTATTTTATCTATTTTCTGTTTTGGTGAAAACTGATCTTTCTGTTTAAGCGAATTTGGGATCATTGTTTTAACATTATGATTTTCTTCAAATAGTCGTGAATGTTTCTTTACTGTTTTTATGAATTGTTTATCCGGAAAATGAGAAATTGGAATTCCTGCTCTAAATCGAGGTTTCGCTATAGTTTTAGTAAACTGTGGAGTTATTATTTCCTTAGTATAATAAGAGCTTGGTATTCCTGCTGAAAATTGTTGATGAGGTTGTTGTTGGCCTGAGAGTAAAGATAAAAGGGAGGTTTTAGATGATTGTTTGTTTCCGCTGCTCTTAACAATGTTCTGAGATGGACCATTGATTACCTGAACATTAGGGTCTGTAAGCAGATTCATCAAAAGATTTTTTGTTAATTCAGGTCTGTCTGACTCGATTTGTATTTCGACAACTTTTGGTGCTCTCGGATCTCCAACATTTATTACTTGTTTTCTTATACTTTCAATAAGATGTTTTGGACTTTTACTAAGCTGAACAACTTTCTTCTTTGGTTTTGTGTTGTTCGATTTTTTATTTCCGATTTCTTTCGACTGTTTTTCAGTTTGTGTTTGTGGGAAAATAGTCTTAGAATCTATTACCTTTGATTCCTGTTGTTTTGAATTATTATTTGAGGATGTTTTTGTCACAAATTGCTTCTGATTTGATTGTCTCAAAAGTGGTTTAGAGAACCTTGAAATATGTCGAATTTCATTCATCGCATCCATAAACCTCCTATTTTGAAGCATGGCATCCATTATAAAAGCAGTATGTTTAGATTGATCTTGTTGATTTATCAGTTGAGAATCGATAGATGATTTCTTTTGATTTTTAGTTGTCATAATTCCCTGTTCCGGCACATCAGGTATCCTGTTTGATTTGTGAGATGGCAATTTCTCTCCATTTCCGGTAGGGTTATTCCCTAATGGTGTATGACTTTGTTGGCTGTTTTGCTGTGGATTTTCCATTCTTAAATCTATTGACCGTGGGTGAGACTGCATTAGGAAAGGTTCGAATTCGCCATCCCCAGAAAATGGGAATAAACCGGGAAAATATCCATCAGGGTTAAATGCAACAGGCGACGGTGTTGGATGAAAAGTATCAAAAGGAGAATGTATGCCATCATTTATTCTTGATTGTTGGGGATCCATCAACATGTCAAACATCCCAATATTTTCATTCATTGGTTCCTTATGGTCATGTGCTTTCTTACTAGGTTCATTTTGATTATAAACATTGTGTTGGTCTGAAATGGCTTGAGGTTGTCTATGATTTTCTTTTTTGTGTGAACTTTGTTTATTTTCATTGTTAGATGTAGATCGTAAATGATCAGGTAAGACTCCAGATGGACTATTATCTGTGTTGGCTATTTTTTCCAACCTCACTTTTCGGCGCATGTGATCAGGTAGAACATCTGCCATAAACTGTCCAAATGGATCTAGAGGTAGTGATACTTGTCTATTAAATCCCAATCCTTGGGACTCATGAGCACGATTAGATTGAAATGATCGACCCGAGTCTGACTGTCCTTGACTTATTTCACGGGGTACAGCACCTTCAACTCTGAAAGAACCACCATCGAAATGAAGTACATTTTCTTGCCCCGAAGGCATTAAATTAAACGGCTCGTGCCTTTGTAGATGTGGATTCGCTTCTATTCTAAATACCCTAAATTGTCTTTGTGCTGAAAGTATTTTAACTGAAATAGAAAACAAACATCCATTGAAGCATGGAATCATAACACACGAATTCATATATAAAAAATATGTTGTCAATAAAATTAAATTCCATTAATAAATTTGGTATAAAAGTCAAGTGTATGCCCAATCCCCAAAAACGTATACGTATCCTGTCGACGGCACTTTATGCCCAAACATGTCTAGATGGGGTTAATCGTTGAAACGTGTCCTATCACTAAGAACCAATCGTGTACATTTTTGAAAACGACCAAATGTGTGCAACTCTATGTAGACGATTCATTATAATGTCAGTGGTTTGATAAAAGACCTCAAACCTGGTCTCATTCATTGCACTAATAACGGTTTTTCCCCCAAATCCTCTATCTAATTTTAATGACCTTTATGGGAATTGATTCGTCAATACGTTCGAGACACCCGAATGCCAATAGAAAATAGATGTTGCTAATTGAATGAACTTATGTAACTGCGAGTACTCTTGGATCGGTACTTTGTGTCCTTTTGCTTTGTATCGATCTGATGAGTCAAGTAGCCCTTTTCAAATGATTTTTATAGTTATTCTTATGTTGTGCTGTCACACCACTGTCTCAGGTTAATTGGGGGAGGGGGGGGGGGCTTGGTGCCAACAAACATGTTTAACCCCGTCACATTCTGTATGTGTAAGTCCCACGTCAGAAACTTGTAATTTAGTGGTTGTCGTTTGTTATTGTATATCATATTTCTTTTTCGTTTGTTGTTTTTACATAAATAAGGAAGTTGGTTTTTGCATTTGAATGGTTTTACATTATGTTATTTCTGTTCCTTGTATAGCTTGGTGTGCGGTATGGGTTTTGTTTATTGTGGTATGACGTACGGCGACCTATAGTTGCTAACATCTACGACATTTGGTCTCTGGTGGATAAATTTTGTTTATATTTACCACTAAGGACAGGGATTTCGTAATGATCAGCAAATGAATAAAATTATTTGAAAATCGATTTGTTATCATGCAACTCTTTTCCTAATCTGATATCTACTTATTTGAAAACCAAATCCTGTTATCTTGTCAACAATGTTCAACGTCTTGAGCCCTTGTCTATCCGAATTATCATTCCTTTACTACATTAGCGACTGCAGAACATGACAAAGCAAGTTGTAACAATAAAATATAACGTTACTTTTCCTTTTATTTACTAAATCTGGATAAATATCAGCACTTCTAGTAGACTTTTAGTCCAGAGATTCTTAGGCCAGATAGATAGCAGTGTTATTTTCATTTATAGTAGACTTTTACTCCCCGACAGTGTTATCTCTAGATGGAAAGCACTTTTAGCAGACCCATCTCCCTAATTTGTCAACATGCTTATGGAACCATGAATGACTGTCATACAATTTTAAAGTTCTATGCCCCTTGATAAGGGAACGCCCATTTGATTTTATGGGTAGACAAGGAGGATTCTTAAACATGAATATCTTGGCCTAGAAAGAACTGAACCCCACTCCCACCTTTTCCGAAAATCAAGTAGCTGACCCCTAAGTGTTTATGCCAATGCAGTGAATATGTATAGTATTTGACAATCACTGAAAATTTATTTCTAAAGTTGTTAGTTTATATGGATATTGATTCTTGAAAACCTTGGATACATTTTTTATTCCCTATCATTAAAGTATATTCCATATTGCAATGGATCCCTATATGATAAGAAGGTCGTGTCTTAAAGCATAATCTATATTGCAATGGATCCCTTTATAGTATAAAGGTCATACCTTTCAGTAGATTTCAAATTTCAATGGATCCCTTAATGGTAAGAAGGCTGTATCAATTATTTTATTATATTCCCATTTGCAATGGCTCTCTTTATGGTAAGAATGTCATATATTTGTCTATTATGGACTTTTGAGGAGGTCAATACGTTATATATGGACCTGATCAGATTATATTGATCGAGGACGAAGTCCGAGTGTCAATATAATCTAACAGGTACATATATAACTTATTGCCTGAGTGAAAGTCCTTAATTAGTGTATCATGGAAATTGACTTCAATGTTCTTTCTGTGTATTTACATTGTATTTCACAAGATTTTTTATATTGACCGTCAATATATATATGCCAATGGCAGTCAGCAGGGTTTAAGAACATCCGTTGTTCGACCTGTTAGTCAAATGCGTTTTGTTTAAATATACTTTTTCACTTATTTTGTCTTTTGGAAAATGTTGTTTGTGCTGTATTTAGACCCCTCTACCAAGAAATTTGTTTTGCATGCACACGTATAAAAATTGCGGTTTTTATCCAACACAATCATAGGTTTGAGCGTTTTTTTCAATTTAGATTTTAATATATATAGATAGAAACATAGTGTCCATATAAACAATCGAAACAAGGCTTCAGGTACATGGAATACCCTTTGAATCACGTGATCGTTATAACCAATGAAAAAAAGAAGAATGCTACACCATATGTAATATTTAAGTATATTCTATATTGCAATGGATCCCTTAATGGTAAGAATGTCACATATTCAGTATATTCCATATTGCAATGAATCGTTTTATGGTAAGAAGGTCATATCTTCAGTACATTCTATATTGGAATGGGCCCCTTGATGGTAAGATTGCTATGCCTTTCAGTATATTCCATATTGCAATGGATCCTTTTATAGTAAGAAGGTCATATATTTCAGTATATTCCAAATTGCAAGGGATCCCTTTATGGTAGGTCATATGTTTCAATATATTCCATATAACAAAATGTCCCTGTATGGTTAGGTCAAAGTGTGCAGTATACCCCATAGAGCAATGTATTCCTTAATGGTAAGATGACCGTATCTTTTAGTATATTCCATATTGCAATGGATCCCTTTATAGTAAGAAGGTCATAACTTTCAGTATATTCTATATTGCAACGGATCCCTTTATAGAAAAAAATGTCATATGTTTTAGTATATTCCATATTGCAATGGATCCCTTAATAGTAAGAAGGTCATAACTTTCAGTATATTCCATATTGCAATGGATCCCTTTATAGAAAGAAGGTCATATTTTTTTAGTATATTCCGTATTGAAATGGATCACTTTATAGTAAGAAGGTCATATTTCCATGGTTCCTTAAATACTACGAAGGCCACAAGTACATATGTGTTACAATAGCAATCAGTGGTATTTAGTAAGACTGATGTTGATTATAACCATGAAAAGAATAGCAGGTATCACATAAAAAGAACCGACCACATCCACCACGTGCACCAACAAACGACGCCTCCAAAAATTTGACGTACAAACCAAAACTAAAACAAATAGATATTCTAATATGACGTGCTTCTTTCGCTTTGTAAACAACACCGTGATAAAATTCTCGATATATCTATACTTAGCACAGACTCAGTGATATACATAATAATGGATGTTACAATATACCTCCCACGTAAATCCACATGTATCGGAACCTATTTGCAAACGCTATGCCAATTTTATTGTTTTAAAAATTGTAATTGTAAAAAGACTACAGAACTTTTATTCTTATTCGGATGCATAACAAAAAGAATTAATGCATAAGAGCTCGGAGAAATCTACAAAAGAAAAATAAAATAAAATTCCGCGAAAGTCCATTAATGCTTTTGGCGCATTCAAGTCATTTCCAAACATGACGTCATACAAATGAAAACGCTAAAGCTGAAGGTTTTTCAGTTACGTGAACCATTGAAATTCGTATAATATTACATTAAAATGGATTTTTGAGGTAGGTGTTGTTTTATTTTCTATTCTATTGCATTATTCGCATTTTTACTGATTTCAGCAAGTCAACATGGCGGCTCCTTAGTTACCAAATGTCAACTTTGGATTTGACGATAGCTTACGAGAAAAACATGTGAATTAAAAATGGAAAATGTTGGGTTTGAGAATTAAAAGAATTAAGCACATTTTTCTAGCGGTTATTTACGAAATAATTCATGCAAGCTACAGATTTATTAGAATGTTTTAGCTTTATCTAACAGGGAGTAAAGAAGAACAGCCACACACACGGCATACCCACCCTCGCTTCAGTTTTTTAATGACCGTATTTGTCCTATTAGAATCAAAATAATTCATGGAAGCCATAGATTTTTGTAAATTTACACATGGCTGGGCCGTGATATTCGTTAATTTTATCCCTCGCTAACGCTCAGGATAAAATTCGAATAAAACAGCCCAGGCCATGTGTAAATTTCCAACAAATCTATGGCTTCCATGAATTATTTCTTAAACAACACATGGTCTAGATAGCCTGACTTTGTACAGCCACACAATATGATGGGGTTTTACCAGATCTACATCCAGTCTATCCGCTTTTCTTTTTTAGATCATAGGTCGTACAACTAAAACACATAATTAAAAACCTGCAAAGTGCAGCTACCAACAGGATAACAGGATGACCACTAACTTAAACAAGAAAATAAAAACAAAAATGGGAAATTATTTGGAGATCTGGGCTGATATGCATAAAACCACTTAAGTTAAGATATCCAATCGTAATACTAATTTATCGTAGGACAAGTAGAACACTCTGTCCGTTCGGAACTAATCTTAACTTAAGTAGCTTTATGCATACGGGCCCAGGGACAAAAATGCTCGCTTCTTCTAGAAATTATCTTAGGAAGGTACACACTGCTGGTTGGATATTGCGATATATAATTTAAGCGAATTCGAATAAATTGAGATGTGGGGTTGTTATATCTACGTTAACGTGGCAACGCCTTGATAAGAAACTAAAAAAAGAGATATCAAATTTCTTACTTTTGAAATTACGGAAATAATAAGGTTAGGAATAATTTATTAATCTGCTCTTATTTTTTTTCATTTTCTTTTTTTTTTATTTTCCCCTATATAAACTAAAAAAATACACTTATCTGAGCATATATATGAAAAACGGTGCTTTGCTTTTGCGCCATTGGCATTTCATTTCCGCCAAATAAATCTTTCATTTGCGCCAATAATACAAGTACATACACGTAAACATAGTATTGAAGACCCATTGATGGCCTTCGGCTGTTGTCTGATCTATGGTCGGGTTGTTGTCTCTTTGACACATTCCCCATTTCCATTCTCAAATTTATATTAAACGACGAAAAGACAAACAACACTACACAAAACACAATATAGAAAACAGAAGTTTTATAATTGTTTTGTTGTCCACATCTGTTGTGATTCTATAGCAGTTGCAAGTTGTTTTGTTTTGGTATATCTAAACGACTTTGGTGGATAGTTTTCTCATTTGCAATCATACCACATCTCCTTATTTTTATATTTTTATAAATGTTTCAGAACATTAGATAACCTATATTTGTGGTCAAAAAAAGTTACAGACTTATTTCCTCTATTTGTCTTCGAATTAACAATGTCCATTTTGACACTTCAAACATGTTAACACTATATAACCTAAGTGACTTTCAGTTCTGTATAAGAAATGAGTATAAACTGACTAAATTACCCAGGGGGAATACTCTAAAAATATTTTTATTCTCCATATAGCAATGTATATTTAAACTATTCCGTTATATGTTACCTGTGAAATGGCGCAAATGTAGTTTTTGTTTTTTGGCGCAAATGAAATATAGACTTATGGCACAAATGAAAGATTGGATTTTGCAAAAATTGGCGCAAATGCAATGCGCCCATGAAAAAAGTGTGATGCAATTAAATATCGACAGATTTTTCTTACCTTTTAGGAATGCCAATATTAAAACAAGAGTCGCACACTGAAGAAGAATATCTAAAACAAAAAAGAGAAATGTGAAAACTGATTTAAAAAGTTAGAAAGAAATATAACCAACATAGGGACAATAACACAAGTTTTAATAGACACAAGAAGTTCTCTCCATCCAAGTCAAAATTTATAAAAGTAAACCATTATAGGTCAAAGTAAACACATTTTATAATTTCTAAGTAACGGTGGTGGCCATGTTTGCCGTATATTAACCAATAACACTGAAAGTGTATCCGTTTGGCCTTCGTGAGGATTAATCAACTAAGGACTTTTAAAAATGACCATGCTGAGAAATAAAAACTTGGAAATTGGTCTTGCATCTTACATTTAATTATTTGCAAATACATCTATCATATTATTTATGTGTTTTTATCATTGTCCCAATCGCTATAGTATGTGTTTTATTTCCTTTGCCCTCTGATTTTTTGTTCGGTTAGACACGTAAAGATGAAAAACAACTAAATTACTGTCTATAATTTGACATACTTTCATCATAAAAATATTAATAACTGTCTTCAAAGACTTTTTCTGAATAAATGGAAGTTTGTGTTTGTAAAATCTTAACAATATTGTAAAATGATGACATCTTTCGTGTCATAAAATCTAATAATTTGCATACATCTAAAGGTACATAAATGTCAGTATGGTAAACAATTCAATCAAATATATTCGTTTTATTCTAATTTGTATTATTAATGCAAATAAAGTTGTTTTCATATAACGGACTCGCAAATTTAAGAAATTTTGGCAATGCTACGACTCTTTTAAGTTTGAAGGACTGTGTTCCCTATCAATGCAAACCTTATGGAAGAAACATAAGAATTGAGTATGTACAAAACAAATTTATAGTTGTAGATTTGTCACAAATCTTGAACTGTGTAAGAGGTTATCAATATTACTATTACTCTATCGTCGATTATTTATCTACTCTTCATATATTCTATTTAAATATTTGGTCATCTCTGTTGTCTGGTCTTTGTTAGTGCTCATTTAATTGACCTCTCGGCATTATTTTGTATATCTTTAGCTGTCGGATTTTTCTCGTTGACGTTTACTCAATTAACGTTTATCATTTTGGTCATCATGCTTCGCAATTGTGTCAAAGGGTTTAACAAATGATTGTTCCGCTATTTATATCTACTTAGAAACACCAAACGACCAGAAAATGTCATTCCCCAAAATAGCATCTTAAGTGATGGGTGCAGTAAATGCTCATGCTACTAGGTGACATGAGGTCATATCCGGTTTATTTCAGTGTTCATGTTGCTCAATATTTAGGTTCGTTTTCTGAAAACTGTGTGTGGACAAATGTTTATATTGTTTTACTTTGTTTTGATCCAAGTGATGTCTTTAAATTAACGTTGTTTTTTTTTTTTGCCAATGGTGTCTTTTTAAAACTAGCTTCGCATTCCATTTTCTTTTTAATGCTAGACATCTCTTTAATTAAAATGCATTAAAAGACAACTGTTTTCCTCTTTATCGTGGCATATAAATACCCTATAGAAAATGGAATACAATAAATCAGAAAATAGTTAGAAAATTCAGAACTATGAAATACACTGAAATTACTGATATCTGAGATTTTTTAAACAACAAAAACGAAACTGTGAAAACTTTTACTTATAATAAGAAATAAAATCAAGACTCACCGTTTAATTTGGTAATTTTCATTTTCTCTCTTTTTACATTTCAAATTCAACAACGTATAAGTCAAATCCAGTCTATATTTAATCGCTAGTGTTCTGATTTTTTCTCCTTCTGATGTTTGAATTATTCATGATTAATATATACCGATAAATCAAGGAAGTACGAATTATACAATTCAAACCCTAACATAATATCCTAATTGATTTAATGCTAATTTATTATGGTGAAATTAATTGACATACAGTAACAAATTGACAGGCCTACTTACACTTGTACATATTATCGTGACGGTTGGTTTTTCTTCATGGAAAAATGTAGAACATGACATCTACATTTAAGTTATTGTTTTATTTATCACTTGTTATTCTATACTTAAATAATACCAAAAAATGTGTTGCATGTAACAAACTATGCAGACATGTGATTGGTCATTTCATAACCTATCTATGAGATTATCCTCGTCGTCACAACATTTAAGAAACTTTCACATAGTGAAGCCCGAGGTTCCCTTTCTTTCCATTGCTATGCGGATGTAAGTAGTGGTTATTTTTGCTGAAAACTGTACATGTACAATTTGAGCACTTGCAGAAATGTATTGACACTTTGTTCTTGATACAATTAATGATCGTAAATCATGGATTTTGTTTATTTTTAAATTGAAGAGAATATGAAATTGAATTGTTCAGACTGCAATGAACAAAATGTCCCTTATTCGTTATGTGAAAATAATGCCTCCTTTCCTTTTTGTTAAGTTTGGAACTAGTTTTGTAGAAAATCTTTAAACAAAATATTTACATTTATTTTTTTACAGAAAAAAGAGTTAATAATATTTGTTCCAAAACAGTAGTATGGGATCAGAATAAATTGTCTAAAAATAGACGTTGATATGTTATCGATATTATGTTATAACGTCGCTCAGCTTCTCTTAATTATAGAATAACTAATCGAAGAATTCAAATAGAGAAAAATATTCAACGAGTGACCGAACACATTAATTCACGAATGCGCGTAGCGCATGAGTTAATTATCAGTGTTGTTCGGTCACGAGTTGAATATTTTTCGATATTTGAATTCTTTGATTAGTTATTCTTTTTATTACAATGGCAAATGGCTTTTTTAATGAAATTAATGTAGAAAATGTAAGGAACTATATCTTTTTTCTACGCATTCACAATTTGTTTTGATCCGACGTTATCGACGTCTTGACAACGCCTATTGTTGTATGACGTCAGAGAGTGAAATAACCACGTTTATTTCACATGTGAAATTATCGGTTTTTATTTAACTGGGAAATCAATGTAATTCATTGCTACCAATGTAATAACAATGTTTATTTAGTCTTTTCATTCTCAAGTTCTACAATAAATAATCCCTAGGTCCTCTGACGGCCAGGTATCATATGTTTTAAAGAATGATGATAGCCACTGGGTAGTATTTTATTAATTCCGGTATCAGACACAGTCGGTGCGATTTTGAGCTTGACAAGTATATGATAGATACTTTATTTGTTGAAAACCATAGTTCGCCCGAGTTGTTTTTGTTGATCTTAGTTTTGGTTGGTTGCTGCCAGTGTAGGTTCGGGTGGGTTTTTTCCCAAGACACGTTTAAAGTTATGTAATGAAATAGTAAAACCCGACATGTAAGAAAGATGTCCCGTATTTATTTTTTTATTTATTTTGGCGCTTGTTAAAAAACATAGCTGAGCGAGATTGTACATTCAGACAACCAACAGAAACGAAAATGTAGGTCTTTTTTAACCCTTTTTTACTGGTAATATGTCCTAATCGGTATGATTTAATAGAAACATGGTGTTTGAAATATACCCGAGGAGAGCAGTTGTTGAACACATGTACAGTCTTTTCAAACTTTCTGCCTTGCTGAAAATTAGAGTAGAGGGACAGCACGTATATACTACAGTCATTGTAAGATTGTATGGATAAGAACAAAATTGATAAAAATAAGAGGGAAATGTTGAAAGCTTTAAGACAATTTGATGAAATTTTTAAACACAAACAAAAGAAAAAAAGAGGGGTCCATACCCCATGCGCCTGAAATTATTTTTGTTTTTTACATTTGTATTTGCAAAAAATAAATGGCAAGCTGATTTCACAAGTCCGCTGAAGTACAGTACACAAAATATTGATGTAAAATAAGGAGATGTGGTATGATTGCCAATGAGAAACAATAAAAAAAAAATCAAATACCGCATAACGTCACGGTACCCAAATTCCAGCGAGTACCCAAATTACTAGATATAAGATGTGGTATGAGTGCCAATGAGACAACTCTCCATCCAAGTCACAATTTGTAAAAGTAAACCATTATAGGTCAAAGTACGGCATTCAACACGGAGCCTTTGCTCACACCGAACAGCAAGCTATAAAGGGCCCCAAACATGACTAGTGTAAAACCATTCAAATAGGAAAACCAACGGTCTAATCTATATAAAAAACGAGAAACGAGAAACACTTATGAACCACATCAACAAACGACAACCACTGAACATCAGGTTCCTGACTTAGGACAGGTGCAAAAAAATGCAGCGGGTTTAAACGTTTTAATAGGCGCCAACCTTCATCCTACCTGAAACAATAGTGCAACATCACAACATAGAAAGACACACTATAAAATATCAATTGAAATGGCTTAACTCAATCAAAAGACATATTAACAAAAACATGTGAACATACACTGAATGAATCAATTTGATCTATGACACAATGTAAATACAAAATTAATAAAACAAGGGGGTTAGATGTAAAACAATATCAGAAAGACAACCATAACCTTGGACAAAATGCCGCCAAATAAAATAACGTACACAGGTAAATAAAAATAATTTTGTTGTAAGGTATACATGGAGTACGGAAATGTTTATTTAAAAATAAATAATTTTGTTGTTCCTAGTACGAGAACAAAAGTGAAAATTTATCGTCATACTAAACACTTATCAAATGTGATATATATTAAAAATAGTGAGACTAGATATAACACTGAATATGTAAACATTAAATAACAAAAATACATTACAAATTGTATCAACAGGTCAAATTAACACGAAAGTACGATTTGAGAGTACTCGCAGTTACTGAAAGCTAGTTAAAAGCCAAACACAATTAATAATCAAAGTACTGAAGTACTGAACATCGGATGACCATAGGTTCTTGTGGATGGTCAAAAGCACATGTCACAGAAATAGATCACATCTCTATACCTGAAACTGAGGTTAATTTACAGAGATATATTTTTTTCTGATACAAGTTCGTGCATGGATGATGAATAAATGACAGGAAATTCAACCGCACCGTAATAACTATTATATTGTAGTGATACAAATCAGTATACCTGGGACTATTATACTAATATAATAATAGTCCCAGAGTATACACTGGTTTGTTGTTATATATTATAAGACACTCTTCTGTAAAAAAAATCGATTTTTCTAAAAGATTGGATATGAGAAGCCATTCATATTTTCCCGCAAAACAATAACAGAGTTATCGGTCCTTGCCGGGAGTGTCGCAAAACGTTCTTGAGATATTCTTCCGTAAGCTTTAACACAATTTTTCGGTACGTGTGCATAGATATCATCAATGATTTTTTACTTTTATATATATAACTAACGACAACACATTTTCATATTATTAATTTGTGTTTTAATAAAAAATATTTATAGGAGTATCCATTGAAAAAATGAATTTGAAACAAGCGATAAGTAATGTTATTTTGCACTAGATGATGATCGCGGACCTATAATTTTTATAGATCGGTTAAAAACCCAAAACTAATTTGCATAATGGAAATTTAGGCGATAGCAATACATCGAAATGACCTCACGGTCATCGCGATGTAATAAAAAATCATGCATCAGAGACTAAAATCAACTAAAACACATCCCAGGGATTTAGTGTTTTAACATCATGGACAGACATAGAAGACATGACTTGTGCAATGCCAAAATAAAAGTATCGACATGCAGTAGGATAGTTAGAAGTTAACCTGTTAATACATATGTATAATGATATATATAGATAGAGTAATCTCTATATAGAAAATGAACGATGATGTGTATTTATACATCCATAAAAACGTTTGAAAAGAATACAAATTTAGTTATGTTTTAATTTGCTGATGACAAAATCGATATTTGTGCCAATGTAAACTTTGGTAAGATAACCTTTACAAATAAGTTTGTTTAAAGGTTCGATGAGTTTACACGGATCACATAGTGATTTCCGCGCTTACACCCATTTAGCAAAAATAGCAACGGAAATCTTACACGTTTTCTTAGAGACTAAACTATTTTTATTTTAATAATTTGATATTATGCACGTCTTTCAACATAGTTAAATATATCCAAATATACACAAAACGTTCACAGTATATATCAGCAGATGAAGTATTCACTCAAAAGTAAAATTTACGGAAACGTCGTCATGCGACGTCCACTAAAAGTCAACTTTTAAAAATGAGCAATTAAAATATGTTACAGGCATCCATTTCTTAAAAATGAATAGTAAGCATGGAATATTGTCAAATTGTTCAAAATATCTGAAGAATTAAAACAAAACATCAGTTATTCAAATTTTACAAATGCGAATTTAAGCATGGATGAAATTTGGGTACTCCTCATTACAGAATCATTGGTTTGTTTGGAGGTTGGTTCAAACCCATTTTTCTATGATTCAATATGGATTCAAAATTAAATTGGTGGAACTATATAGTAAAGAAGGATACATCCACAAAATAAACACAGAATCGATACTTTTGTTTGGATCATATATATAAACGTAGGTTAAAAAACAGTCAAAATAGGTGAAATTTGGGTACCCTCACGTTAGTCAACTATAACAGTCACCGACATGAAAAAATGTGAAACAAACCAACGGCCTGATGTATTATCAAATAATAAACAAATAACAAATATGATAGACAGCAACCAACGACAACAAATATTACAGGTTTTTGACTTGGAACAGGCACATATAGACTGCAGCGGGCTAAACACTGGTTTGTGAGCGTCAAACCCTCCCCTTACCTCGAACAGTGGTAACAGCACAACATAAGAGGCGGGGTAAACAGGTT